AATAGGAGTTTGGTGCACCATTTATGTAAAATCGGACGAATATATATGTATATGTGGGAGCTATATCGAAATCTGAACCGATTTTTCCAAAATATAACACACATCATTCTATACTCAATTCAGTACGCTGTGTCAAATTTCGTGCAAATCGAAAGATATATAGCCACTATTTACCATAAATATATATATGGGAGATTTTCACGAAACTTAACACACATTACTCAAGACTATGCAATACGCTTTGCCAAATTTCGTGTCAATCCAAGAATATATAGGGACTATGGTGCACAATTTACATAAAATCTGACGAACATATATATAAGAGCTTTATCAAAATCTGCACCGATTTTCACGTATCTTAACACTCATCCTTCTAGACTTAATTCTGTGCGCAATGCCACATTCGATTCGCGCAAATCGAAAGATATATAGGGACTTTGGAGCCCCATTTACCTTAAATCGGACGAAAATATATATAGGAGCTACATCTAAATCTGAATCGATTTTCACGAAACTTGACACACATCATTCTAGACACAATTCAGTATACTATGCAAAATTTCATGCAAGTCGAACGATATTTAGGGGCTTTGGTGCAGCATTTACATAAAATCGGACAAAACTATATATGGGAGCTACATCAAAATCTGAACCGATTTTCTCGAAATTTAGTATATATCATTCTTGACCTAATTTAGAACTCTATGCCAAATTGCATGCAAATCGAAAGATATATATGGACTTTGGAGCCCCATTTACCTTAAATCGGACGAAAAAATATAAAGGAGCTACATCTAAATCTGAATCGATTTTCACGAAACTTGACAATATTTAGGGGCTTTTGTGCACCATTTACATAAAATCGGACAAAACTATATATGGGAGCTATATCTAAATCTGAACCGATTTTCTCGAAATTTAGTACATATCATTCTGGACCTAATTTAGAACTCTATGCGAAATTGCATGCAAATCGAAAGGTATATAGGGACTTTGGTGCCACATTTACCTTAAATCGGACGAAACTAAATACGGGAGCTATATCTAAATCGGACATGCATAAATCGACTCAGAAAGTGATTCTATGCACATTCTCAAAAGGAACCATGTGTCTATCTCGTTTCCTTTTGCCTGTTACAAACATATGCACAAAGACATAATAGCATGTACCACAGAGTGGTGAAGGGTATAAAAAGGGGACAGATATTGATAAATTTTGGTAAGAAGAGTATTCACCAAATGATAAATCAAACCAACAAATTTACAGCCAATTCGATAGGACAACGTGTCAAATAATTCTTAAAATACCGAAAATTATACATAAAAGTGTACCGATGTTGATATTGTTTCGTAAAAAATCGATTGAAAATCGTATCAAAAATCCTGCTGATAACCCTATGAAAAATTGCGGCATCCTGCCTCAATACCTTGAATGTATGAATTGTATTGTATTTGTATGAATTGTATTTGAGAGAAAGATTATCCGAAAGAACTACGGGCCGATCTGCGTCGACGGTGAATATCTCCATCGAATTATGAGTTGTACCCCTTATTCTCGGACATCGATGTAGTCAGACGCATCGAGCTGCAGCGACTAAGTTCGCTAGGTCATGCTGTGAGAATGGAAGAAAGCCCCAGCTCAAAAGTCATATTAAAAGCGGACCAACTGATAGTTCACGCAGAAGGCTACTTCAATGAGTTGCAAACGTAATGACAGACCTTGTATACTTTGTGAGGTCTCCAGAGACATTAGAAGAAATAAAAAATAGTTATATCCTTTTTCAAGCGCCTTTTAAAATCGAAAATATGTCGAAACACTTATATTGGGGTAATTTTCCAAATAAGATTGAAAAATTTTGCCACAACCTATTTTAATACTCAAATATTTTCTTTGTAAAGAAAATACTTCTGCCCAGAAAGTGTTCAAAGTTGATAAATATTTGTAAATAAATACAATGATCCTGTTTGCTATGTTAAGTTTTTTAGACTAGTTTTCAAATTTGGTATTTTCTTTAATTTGGTATTTTAATTTTCTTAGAGTATAAACATCCTACTAGCAGACAATATACTAGGACATCGTATCCCTGTAAAGGTGGAGGATATAAAAAGTTTGCAGGGAATTTAACCGCGTTTTTACTTGTTTGTGGGAATTTGGGACCAACCTCAGAATAATTTTTTTTAGAATACAGCTGACGGATTTTTTTTTTAAATATTTTAAATTTTCCGGACAGGATTGCCTTGCCGTCAGTTTTAGATGTTTTTCTTTAAGTCATTATCTATTTCACTTTATCGCCAATTATACAGAATTTTACAGCTCATTTTTATTAAACAGAATTATATGCAAAATTTCATAAAAACAAAACTAAAAAATTATACTATTGACAAGCACATGACGGTACCAACTAGCGAATTTTGAGTATTTGTTAGATTTTATTAACAATTGAAGGCAATATTAGCAATAAACAGTGTTATATGATATTTAGTTTGGTTTTGTATAAATAACCATGGAACGAATGCAAAATTCACATCAGTTCATTCACAATATTTGTACAAAGCGCATCATCCTCAACTTCGACAAGTAACAAATCATGAAATTCCTTGTTTTGTCTGTATTTTTTGCCATTTGTACTGTTGTCATGGCTCATGATTACGGACACGAACACAAGGAAGTTGAGCATGATTATTATGCCCATCCCAAATATGAATTCAAATATGGCGTTAAGGATTTGAAAACTGAAGATATTAAAGAACAATGGGAACACAGAGATGGTGATAAAGTTTATGGTAAGAATATTTTGAAAAATTATGTTTTTTCAAATGTTTATAACACTATTGTAATTTTTTAGGTGGTTATCTCCTGAAGGAAGCTGATGGCACCACACGTGTAGTGAATTACCACGCTGATGACCACACTGGTTTCCATGCTGATGTCAAAACTATTGGCGAAGCTAAACATCCTGAATCCCATCATCACGAGAGTCATGGACATTACGGTCATGCTGAAAGCTTTGTTAAAATTGAAAAGCACTTAGAATAAAATTTAATAATATTTAATATTAAAATTAATAAAATTAAATAATATATAACAAATAAAAAGTTGTTAAGACAGACTTTTATAACCTCCATGGGCATTCAAAATACCTAAAACCAATCGTTTCTCTTTGGAGAAACTGAAATAAAAATCTAGAGACACTTACATTGGAGGGAAGTTAGCTAAACATCGAGAACCCAAAACACCAAATTAAAGCCACTTCCTATGAAACACTTGCCTAACTATATCAAACATTTTTAGTAGGAATGTTCGCTTTACATTGAGAATTACCACTTACAACCACTTCGGTTGAAAAACGTGCCCAACATTCCCAAAATACCGAATATTATGGGCTAGACCAAAACGTTGACCGATATACCCTATATACAATACCAAACATCGTGGAAGTTCCAGCAATATCTGGACAAAATTTCGGACCTCTGATTTCAACAAACGGACAAGGCTAAATCGACATAGAAGTTTATTCTGATCGAAAAAAATTATATTTTATGGGGTCTTCAATGGTTGTTTGGAGGTGCAAACGGAATTAAAAATTTAATAAATTATGATTAATTGGACGAAACGTGTAACAGGCGTTGTTACTTCTTTTCCTAATTTTGTGAGGCCTTTAATACGTTACTCACCAATGGAGTAACCGATAATTTTCTCTCAAACGTATATTAATTTCAACGATGGGCCCTAAGAAGACATCTAGCTCTTCTATGGGAAGAAGAAGACCTCCAACTCTTCTATAGGAAGAAGAAGACCTCCAACTCTTCTATAGGAAGAAAAAGACCTCCAGCTCTTCTACAGGAAGAAGACCTCCAGCTCTTCTATAGGAAGAAGAAGAACTCCAGCTCTGCTATGGGAAGAAGAAGACTATCACATCTTCTATGGGAAGGAAGAAGACCTCCAGCTCTTCTATAGGAAGAAAAAGACTTCCAGCTCTTCTACAGGAAGAAGACCTCTTCTGTAGGAATAAGAAGACCTCCAGCTGTAGGACGAAGAAGACCTTCAGCTATTGTGTAGGAAAAAGAAGACCTGCAGCTCGTTTACAGGAAGAATACATCCAGCTCTTCTATGGAAAAAAAAGACCTCCATCTCTTCTATCGATAGAAGAAGAAGAAGTCCTTCTATGGGAAGAAGAACACCTCCCGTTCCGAGTTAAAAATTTCAATAGTATAAATTTCATTTTTATTTCCGATGTCGATGTATGAGTCGAAATACATTCATCTAGTCAAATTGTACTAATCAGCTGGTACATGCTCCTAATCAGCATCTGACCACCGGTCTTATTATTTTTTAGCCGATTTATTGACATTCTGACCTCTTCTTGGCTAGGTGGTATACACTCTATACCGTCATCTCTTATTTGTTTTGGTATGTTTACTACACCGCCACTATTTGATATCAGAAGCTTTGCAAAATGCTCCTTTCAGATCCTCAACACATACACCAAAGCTTTCAGTTTGGTGTTTTACTCGTTGGACTTCATTCTGACACCAGTACATCTCGATTTGCTCACGCTCAAGTTTTTCTTGTCCTTTCTTCTTTTTTGAAAATACATTTCTCCTACCTTCTTTTATACCGATAATTCTCTGTGGCATTACGAATATATATGGAAGCTATATCCAAATCTGAACCAATATCAACAAAATTTGACACACGTTAAGATATACTTTGTTAAGTACGTTGTGCTAAATGATATATCAATGGGCCTTACTTTGGGTCTTTGGTGAACCATTTACTTAAAATCAGGAACTGTATCTAAATTTGAAACGATTTTTCTTTTTCCCAATAGCGTTCGTCCTTAGGCCAAATAAATGAGATGTGCCAAATTTCATCCAATTTGGATCATAAATGCGACCTGTACTTTATTTTCAATTTAACATTGACGGACGGACATGTATAAATAGACTCAGAATGTTATTCTATGTATATTCTCAAAAGGAACGTCTATCTCGTTTACAAACATATACACAAAGATATAATATCCTGTAACAAAGAGTGATGAAGGTTAAACATCTACAGAATATCCTGTGAACATTATGCCTTGGCATGGACTTGACTGGATCATTCAAGACTATTTTGTTTATACATCCAATAGAACACCCATAAAATATGAATAATAAAACCAAATATTGAGAGACTTAAAGCACATGGAATACATAGAAATTCTAGGATGAATAATCTCAAACATGCGTTGACTGGTTCATGTGTATGTTCAATTGTTGGAAAGGTGGTGAGGTGAGTTCACCAATTATTCTAGATTTATCAGATAAACACAGGCGACAAATTTGTTCCAGCTATTTATCAATCAGGCCTCGTATTTTCAATATTCACGTGGATTTGATTCTCATTAATTTAATTAACTTTAGTTAATGAAAGAATTTAGTTTTTTTTTATTTATTAACAATTATATATTACACAACAATTTAATTTTAATTTAAATCTAAATTTCTAATCAAGAAATTTTTCTTTTCCATCATCATCAAATTAGTGCTTCTCAATATGAGCATAGCTGGTGGCATGACCATAATGACTATCAGCTTGTTTGCTATGATCGAAGTAATGTAAATTATGATGATTAACATGTTCAGCGGAAGCCACTTCATGAGCAAGATGACCTTCGACAGTGTAGTGAGCTTCGTCAGCAACATGATGGACAACTTCGGCAGCATGACCCAGCTCAGCATGATGGACATGGACAATTTCATGTTTATGTTCGTGACTTTCATGTTTCTGAGTTTCAGGATGTTTAGCTTCACCAATTGTATTGACATCAGCATGGAAACCGCTGTGATCGTCGGCATGATAGTTAACCACACGAGTGGTGCCATCAGCTTCTTTCAAAAGGTAGCCACCTAATAAACAAACAAGAAAATTTAAATTTCGAAATTATAACATTATCACAATAATAATTACCATGAACCTTATCGCCATCTCGATGTTCCCATTGCTCCTTAATATCCTCGGTTTTCAAATCCTTAACACCATATTTAAATTCATATTTAGGATGGGCATAATACTCATGTTTATCTTCCTTGTGATCGTGGTATTCATGAGCCATGCTCAAGGCACAGATGGCAACAAATACAGCCAAAATAATGAATTTCATGTTTATGTTTGGAAATGAAGGAGCTGTTGGTACTACACACAGAGGTTGAATTTGAGTGATGATGTTTTCAAATCCGCAAACCTTAAATATTTATATGAAACAGAGATTTGTTTTAATTTACACTTGTACTGTAGTTTTAACTTTAATGTGTCTTTTTTATAACCACAAATATTTAGGTTTATTAACAAAATTGTTAGTTTTTCGTGTTAACATACAGTTATATGGCTGTCATCATAGTGCGCGAATTTTGTAATTTAAATTAAAGTTCAACATCAACTATCAACAAATAAAATCGTAAAAAAAGTTGTGATACAATTGTATATTTGCAAATGTGATATCCACACTTATGTACAAAGATTACTTTTTATGTTAAACGAAGTAATCTTTTTTCTTTATGATAAATTGTCTTAGGTCAGAAATTAGTAAAATGAACAATCTGAAACATATATAGCTAAAATCTTGAAGTTTTATATGAAATACAGGTTGGGAAGTGGTGTTAATGTATGGAAATCGTACTTAAGTTTATAAAAATTACTAAATGGTACTAAAGAGATGGAATCCTGAAAATAGAAATTAGGACTTCCATTGGAGTACAGGATTGAAGTAGATTTAAAAAATCGTACTTGTGTGTACGAAATGTACTAAATGGTACTAAATTTGGTGGAAGTTGGATTTCGGTTCACAGATAGAGCTGGAGTCTTGAAATTGGGAATTAAAATGTCTGTTGCAGTGTAGAATTGAGGTAGTTTTGGAAATTCGTATTTATTAGTACGAAAAGTACTAAATATAGTACAATTTGGATTTGGCTTGAAAGGATAGAGCCGAAAACCTGAAATTTGGAATTAAGATTACTGTTGAAGATTGAGCTATAGAGACATCTTTGGAAATTCGTATTTATGTGTACAAAAAGTACTAAACGACAGTAAATTTCCTACAATTTGGATTTGGGTGAACGGAGAGAGCTGGAAACCAAAAATTTGGAATAATGATTGCTTTTGGAATATAGAATTAAGATATGGAACCATGGTACGTAAGTGTACTAAATGGTACTATATTTGGTACAACTTGTGTGAATGGATAGAGTTATACTCCAGAATTTTGGAATTAAATAGGATTGAGTATTTTAGGAAATTCTAAGTTACATACTAAGTTTAGTAAAATTTAGATTTAAATAGTTTGGAATATGTTTGGAATATTTGATATAGTTTGGAATATGGGGACGAAAAGTACAGAATGGTACCAAATCTATACAATTTGGTTTTCCGTGAAGAGACAGAGCTGGAATTCTTAAATTTCGACTTACGAGTTCTATTTGAAATCAGGTGGTAACCTAAAGTTTGTAATGTGGGTCACTGACGGAGAGTTAGAAAGAAGTACCAAATGGGTTTTTGTACTAACTGGCACTAAATTTAATGGTGGTGGTATTGAGGTAGTCTTGTAAATGTGTAATTATATTCTCCAAAAGTGCTAAATGGAAGTAAATGCTGAACCTGTACGTTTTGCTAAAATATATAATTTGAATTCCGATCTATTTATACCCTTCACCACACTGTGGTACAGGGTATTTTGTATTTGTGCATATGTTTGTAACAGGCAAAAGGAAACGAGATAGACACATGGTTCCTTTTGAGAATATGCATACAATCACTTTATGCATGTCCGTTCGTCTGTCTGTCCATGTTAAGTTTTAAACAAAGTACAGGTCGAATTTATGATCCGAATTGGACGAAATTTGGCATACGTCACTTATTTGGCCCAAGGACGAACACTAATGAAATAGGGACAAAATCGGTTCAGATTTATATATAGCTCCCATATATATTTTATTCCGATTTTAGGTAAATAGTGTACCAAACTCCCTATATATCCCTCGATTTACACTGAATTAAGTCTAGAACGATGTGTGTTAAAATCGGTTCAGATTTAGATATATACATATATATATATATCATATATATATATATATATATATTTTAGTTATGGCTCTCATATATATTTTCGTCCGATTTAATGTAAATGGTGTAATTTTGCATGGGGTACTTTACTAATTTCTTTACAGGTTTTAATCTGTGTAATGGATGTAAGAGAGATTTCGGAAAATAGTGCTTATGTGTATGAAGAGTACTAAATCGCAAATTATAGTACAACAAATTTACAGTATTCACGATTCCATATTAAATATTTTTTGTATTACCTTTCCGCATACGAAGTAGCGGCCACTTTGCTAGTACTCCATATTACGACAATAATTTACGCTGTAATTTTGAATACCTTCTTCCAGAAAATATACACATCCGAGGACTAACACTTAGCACTTTTTGGTCGGTAAGAAATGCTCAGGTTTGAACAGATGCACTATGGGCCAGAGATACTATTAGCCATAATTAGATCAGTGGGTTAGTAGTATTTAATGTAAAGTAGTATTTAATGTAAAATTACATTCAAACGTTGATTTATGTTTTATGGGTATAAAACTATGGCATACCTTAATAAAAATTTGAAATATAGCCGATTGGGTTGAAAAATCCCCAAAAATACCAAATAGTGAGGTTTGGTTTATTATACCCTTCACTACACTGTGGTACAGGGTATTATGGCTTTGTGCATATGTTTGTAACAGACAAAAGGAAACGAGATAGGCAGATAGATAGATGGTTCCTCTTGAGAATATGCATAGGATCACTTTCTGAGTTTATTTATGCATGTCTGTCCACCCGTCGTTGGAGAAAATGGGTTCAGATTAAGATATAGCTCTAATATATAATTTTGTCCGATTATATGTCAATGGTGCGAAATTTTGCATAGCGTACTGACCTTATTCCAGTTAAATGTCAGTAAAGTTTTATCGAAATCGGTTCAGATTTAGATATACATAGCTACCATATATAGTTTCGTTCGATTTTATGTAAATGTAAATTTTGCACAGTTTATTGAAATAACTACATATTGATGTATACGAAAGAATGTTTTTTAATTTAATTTTTGCAAAATGTTGAAGTTCCTTTCTTGTAAAACGTATAAATATAAGTTGTAACACCCATATTTACATTTTGAGAACAATATGCAGCTTTAGAATACATAAATTTTTAATTTGTTGAAAATCGACAAACATCAAATTTTATGGAAATTATTTTATTTCAAATTCATATATCGTCAGCTAAAATGCAAAAAGGCGTAACTAACAAAAAATTGACTTTTTGAATAAAACTACATGTGTTGACAAAGTTTTACACCTCTGCGGTCAAAAAAGGAGCTTCTATTAACAAAAAACAAAAAGACGTAACTACAAGTGGGTTTATTTGATAAATGCAAAAAGGCGTATCTAACAAAAAATTCACGTTTTTACTTAATTATTATGACTGCCATTAAACTAAATAACTAAATTTGTTAAAATAAATTATAGTCTATTATTCGTCATATGCAATATCACACAATTATGCTCTTGTTAGTTACACCTTTTTGCATTTTAGCTAACGATATGGGTTAAGTATTAAAAAGAGTTACCATTACCAATTTCTCAAATGAGACCACCTTCCATAATTATGCCGTGGCAAAACATGTAAAAAATTTTCAGTCGGTATTGCCGACAGATATAACCATCAGCGTATGGTTTGCGGAGATCTACGTAATTAAACTTGTTTTTCCGAAATGAATATTTACGCCATAAAAGTGAAGCTTTAATTCCTTTAGGTATTAGTTGATTTAACCTTCGGAATATTGACGGATCACCATCTAAACAGCCTTCTAAGTAATTGGTCAGATTCCCTGCATGGCCTTCAGAACGAATAGAAAAAAGGGCACAAATCATGTTTCCGGTTCATTGCATCCCCTAAATATCGAGCCATATTCGCCAAAAAACGTAACCCTAAAATTTAAAATTTTACAGGAGAAGGTTTATTTTAATAAATTCAGATTTAATAAAGCTATTATTTTGAAATTTAGAACTATAGTTTGGGTTATAAACTAGATTTGTTTAAAACTATAGTTCGAAATTTAAAAATAATAGTTTTATTAAATCTGAATTTATTATAACAGGGTCTATTTGATCCGCTAAATATTCATCAAAACTGTCATGCTTATTCTATGACCCGTTCTGTATAAAATTTCACGATGTTCGCGTAATAATTTTTGTCTCTAGAGCTACCAGAAAAACAGCAAAAATAAAGATTTCGGTTCATTTCATTCCCTAAATATTAACGGATCATTACCAAAAACAATAGGCGTATTCTTTGGCTTACACTTATTCTTCACTTTGTACCTCTCACATGAGAGGTTTGTGGCTCGGTGCATCGTTAGTATTTAAAACGACAGCCTCAAAGTATGCTACAGAAAGTATACCAGTGCACAATTAACGACAGCATTGCCATCAATGAAATTTTTTTTATGCCCTCCACCATAGTATGGAGGGTATATTAATTTTCCTTTCCGTTTGTAACTCATTTCCGTTTGTAACTCATCGAAATATCCATTTCCGACCCTATAAAGTATATATATTCTTGATCAGGGTAAAATTCTAAGACGATTTAGCCATGTCCGACTGTCCGTCCGTCTGTTGTAATCATGTTTTGTCATATTTTTCCACCGAATTGGCTGTAATTTAGTATTTTGAGTTCTTAATAGGTACCAAATCTCTCCACAAAAAATTATGAATATAGGTCAATTTTTTCGGGTAGCCCCCATATAAGGGTACCCCCCAAGTTTCGGTATTTTGGGGTCCTTGAGCGCGTTTTTCAGTCGAATTCGCTGAAATTTGGTATATTGGGTTCTTATTGGGTACTAAATGTCTCCACAAAAAATTATAATTATAGGTCCACTTTTTCTAGTAGTCCACATATAACGGTACCTCCTAATTTTCAGTACTTTGTGGGGTTTGGTCGTATTTTTCCACCGAATTGGCTGTAATTTAGTATTTTGAAATCTTAATAGGTACCAAATCTCTCCACAAAAAAATTATGAATATAAGTCCATTTTTTCGGGTAGCCCCCATATAAGGGTACCCC